AGAGCTTGGCAACGTACTGCAGTGTACAGGTTTTACGAGTAAGCGGTGGTCTCGCATCGCTGTCGACTCGACATGGGCGCGTTCCGCGAACGTGCGGCGGGTCCCAGGCGTATGTACAGTGTTGTCATGTCGGCGCCAGCAGCGTCAGAAGCAGCGTCAAGTCTGGCGCCCTCCGTCTTGGCAAGCGACGCCTCTCTGGCGTCACCGTCGATCGGCGAGGTCGCAGCATCTCTGCGGTATATCGTAGATTCCTTGGCGCTATCAACTTTATGCATGCATGGCATGGCCGCATCTCGGCACACGTCCTCCTCGTACTCGCCTACTCTGGTGCGCGAACGCGGTCCACGAATCTGACCGAGAGTAGTAACAGTTGCTATGGACTCTCGCCTGATGGACGTCGCGGGCTCGTGAAGATTCGACCGAGATTCATGCGCTTACCGATCCGGGCTCATAGGGAATCTGCAGACATGTCGGTTTGGTGCCACCTTGCAGTGTTGAGGTGGTGTATCGTCAAATTCGTCTCCATCGGTGCAAGCCGTTTCTCGTTGTTCAGGATGGAGTACCTGCCCGCGCTTCGCCGCAGGCGCCCGTGGCAGCCCACGAGTCCCGGCGACGTGTTTGCCGAGATCGCACGCCTCAAGGAGCAGCGTCGCCTCATCCAGGCCAAGCGCACCGAGACGCTAGCGAGCCCTCGGCTTTACCGATTTGCTCGAGAGCCCGGCCACGACGCTCGTCCCTTTCTTGGCAACCAAAGAGGCGTGTTCCAGTAGCGTTCGCCCGGCGCCCGCGCCTGACGTAGTAGTGCAGCAGCGTTGCCCCCGCTGCTAAGACGACAACCGTGTACTAGTATGCATTATCTTGCGCTTCCCCCATGGAGCTGTTGCTATGCCGAAGCTATCGGCTTGTTCGCTTTACTACTGCAGCTTGTATACGATGGATCGATCCCACGCCGGTGGCCTCGTATTCGAGATTACGAACGCCATTTACGGCTGGGTGACTGCATGGGGTGACTGCGTCTCTGGTGCAGAAAGCTGGTCGAGGTGGTGGCCAACTTGCACTGTGTGATGTGGCTGCTGTGAAGCACCCGCGGTCGGAACCAACGCTTGAAGGCAACGTAGTACATTGCCGAGGCCTTTGTCCCTATCGTGGGTATACCGCGTGCGATCCAGCGCGAAGTTGCCACGTCTCGCTCGCGACGACTAGATCGTTTCTTGAACGTGCGCGCTCATTTCGGACAAGTCCGAAAGCTGCGCCCTGCGACGTCCAAAGAGCCAAGATTTGAAAATGCATGCTTACTCAATATTTGTACTTGTGTTTTGTATGACCATCTGGAACGCCTGCGTTTGATCGCGGCCATAACCAACCACGTGCTTCGGTTGCATATTTTACCCAAAAATAGTCGCCGACATGACGGGGTGCGACACCATGTCGTGGCAGCTGGTGAGGAAAGGGCAGATGGTGAGCACTCGAGGAGGTGGCATGTACCCAGCTTCGCGTCTGCATTCGCTGGCTTGTCGCGGGATCACTTTCTAATCTGCCAAATCCATCCATGGACACGGGCGTCGCCGACACTATTACCGACTGCAACTACGCATCTTCGTGCTGGGAGTCCTCCATCTTCAAGATGAACACTGTGTGCGCCGAGTACCCGCCTCTGTACCCGCGCCTCCAGCTCAGCGCCAATATGCCGCCGCAGATGATCGCCGACATCATCATGGACTTGAAGCAGCAGCGGCGAGCCGTGGACGAGAAGCGCGCCAGCGTGCTAGGCACTCTCAACATGACCGACGACGAAGACAATGAGGTTGTCCATGCGGACGAGACCAGTGGGCACCTTCTCAAGAAGCGCAAGGCCGAGACCGAGATCGGCCGACCGGTCGCCGAGTTTGCTCGCCTCTTTGTCGGCAACGTGGTGCCAAATCCGATGTGCTCCTAGTCGCCAAAGTCTCCTCCTCTTATTTAAGCTCACTAAAGCACATTCGCTCATTCGCCTACGTCGAGCTTTTGCTGTGGAGGGAGAGACACGGCACGATGCGCGACGATTTCACAGACACAATGCAGCATGTCCAATCAACGGCGCTTGGTATGCTAGGCGCTGTGCCGGCACGTACTGCATGGTGACAGCAGGACATTTGGTGTCGCAGGCGAGGTGCCAGGACGTTTGAGAGAGCATTCTCGTCGTTGTGGACGTCAAGCTGGCAAGCAAGAGGGCAAATATGCGTCGCCGCTATATAATACTTGTACGTAGAACTAGGTAGATTTGGTAGATTCGGGGTGACGGTGTCCGAGGTGCACGCGGTCACTCCCTTCTTGTTGCTCGCTCGCAGCGGTGCAGGAGCACAAGCAACCAGCGCTGGAAGGGTACACTTGGTACTCTTGGTGCTGGTATCCATTCGCACAAAATAGAGACACACTTTGTCTCGGTCGCTACCAGTATTTGGTGTTGGCATCAAAACCGAGACCGAGTACTGTCCTCCTGCTCGACGAACGACTTGTCTGGTCGTCGTACACTAGTTTGATTGACGCCGTGTTGTAGCATTTTACTTCAAGCACGGCATCAAATGCAGTGCATGAAATACAGAAGTGCTACTACAATTGTATGTATGGGTTCCGCTTCCCTGAAACACCAACGCTGTGAGGTACCGGTACCACAAAATGGGTGTCCAGAGGCGTCCAGGTGCGTGGACCACGGCGTGAATCCGCCTTCAAGGGTGTGGACGTCTCCTGTCCACGCGGTCCATGGGTTCGTGTCGCATGGACGACTTGTACATGTCTTCCAGATGCACACGTTGACAACCTGTCACATGCGGAGAAAGGGCAGAGTACGTGGCACGCCCACATACCGGCGATCAATTGTTTGCCGTCTTGATTTTTATTTCAAGATTGTATTTGGTATTGGTATGGATTTGTATTGCTTCTTTCGAGTTGAGGTCGGACTCAACGCATTGTATCAAATCTTTGCTGAAACGAGCTAGAAGTTCGCCAGACCCGAAGTATTACTTTACAAACACCCAGTGGTTGGCACGCCAGCCATCAACTGGTCTTCTTACCCACATGGCTCCACCGCGCAGATTCGCTCGCGGGGGCCGAGAGGAGGAGGCAAGGCCTTGGTCTTCTGGTGATTCTCGTGTTCGACGACGCAGTGCACCTCCTTGCTCGACACCATGGACGAGACCTCGTCGGCGGCTGTGAGTAACTAAATAAATAGCCTTGCCCAATGTATACTCGTCCAAAAAAGCGAGCGTCCGGGTTGCCCCAGATTCGGTGCCGGACCTCCGACAGATGCAGCATTTGAGTAGATTCGCTAGCATAGTGGAACCGACATGTGCAAATGGGGCGAGACGCAGACAGGCTCCATACTCTAGCGGCAACGTATGCATTCATTTCCCATTCCGTGAAGCCAAGGCAGTCGCTTCCACAGCCTGTCGCTTGACACCACTTTAGCTTTTCAACGACTAGGAAGAAGTAGAAGACGAAACAATGAGCCGTGGCCTCCTCCAGCACATGCCGACGCTGTTCCCGTCGCCGCCGTCGCCGCTCTCGATCGACCTCGGCTGCCAGGACATTGTCAGCGTCATGCAAAGCCTCAAGCGCCAGCGCGCTGCGCTCCAAACCAAGCGCGCCCAGATTCTCATGAAGGAGCAGGAGGCGGCGACACCACTCGACGTCCTCCCGCGCCTCTCGACCGTGCACGTCGAGCCCAAGAAGCGCAAGGCCGAGGCCGAGCTCTCGACAGCACCCAACGACAAGCTCGCCCGCCGCTACGTCAGCCGCATGCCCATGCATGTCTAGGCGCGTCGTGTCTTTGTTGTTGTGTGTCGTGTCCTATGTAGAGAAAACCATTTCTACAGAGCGGACGAGATTGCACTGCGCGATGGCATCGTCAAAAGAGGCCTTAATTTAACAAGCTTGCGTGTTTTCTGCCACGTTTGCGTCGCCGGTTAGAGCTATCGACGCCTGCAAAACGACCGTGCACGATGAAAGCAATCGTCCTACCCTCGAACGCGTTCCAAAACCGGGGAATTCGCCGACGCTTTGAGTGCAAGCCAAGCGAATCTGCTCAGTACCGTTGACAATGCTTGATCAGAGCACGGCTGGTGCAGCTAGTACCGTGTAGATGTGGCCACGAACCCACGGCACACCACACGCAGCCGGTGGTTGACGCCAATCTCAGACCTCCACTGTGTGACGCAGTTGGCGCCAATCTGCACGTCACCAGCGAGGTGTATGCGGTTTGAATCTCGGTCGGCACGACTGGTCGAGGGAAGATCTCGGATCGAACGATGCAATCGATGCGACGTCCGAGCCCCCGCACGGTCGACGGCAGCGCTGGCAGATGATGGGGCAGATACAACTTGTATCACTGACGCGCGACGCGCTGCGGTGGCGCGATCACATTCGAGAGCATACTTTCTTTCTATGACATGGAATCTAGCGTCTATGGCCCGCGACGTCAAGCAGGCTCCGTGGCCGTCATAAAATGATATTTTGAATTTTAGCTTACAAATCACAAGCTATGAACTCCAAGTTTGTATGGTATTAAAATTTTCTGGACGCGACGCAGCTGGCTGATGGGCAGTGGCGTCTGTCTCGCACGCAGTTCAGGCTTCGAACGAACGAACGCTGTGGAGGACGCACGCGACACCACTGCTCGCTTCGCGCACACGCCGACTGTCAGATTCCAATCGAAGAAAGTAGCTTTTCCCCCTCTCGCCTTTACGGTTGCTCCGAAACCCGTCATCGTTTCGGTGCGCGGGCACTCGCGTCAGAGTCCGACGTCGATCACGGGCCAGTGAGTCCAACGTGCTTCCTGCGCCCATCAGCTTGGGCGTTGGTGCGGGGAAAGGCTGCATTGGCCGTCCGTGTCCTGTTTCAGTGCAGCCGTGCCAGATTCGTTTGATATGTGAAACGAATCTGGCACAATGCCACCCTGGACCGAGAAGCGAAAAGGACACGGTGGGGATGTTTTGTGGTCGTCGACGTCGGTCAGAACGCGATTTTCACCATTTCAAGAGCATGTCCAGCGTCGAAGCCCAGTTTGTGACCTCGTACGAGTGCCGCCTCCCGATCGACCTCAGCTTTGGCGAGATCCAAAACGCCATCTCGCTCCTCAAGGGCCGGCGCGCGTACCTCCAGGAGCGCCACGGACAGATCGCGACCGCGTTTGCCGCCGACGACGTCCCAAGTCCCCACAGCGAGAGCGGCACGTCGCCCCCCAAGACGTACGAATTTTGCCCGTCTTTTTCACGGTAATATCGTGCCACAGTGCTAAAACACCTATCTATTTCCGTGCTATCTGTAATACTACCGTCCAATATACATGAAAAGATGGATGTTGATTGCCTTGTCTAC